GTTATTGTGCCTATTCCTATGCCATAAGCAAAACTTAGAACTTGATTTAAAATTAAGTCTTACCCTTACCGTAGTGAGAAACCATGCGTAGGTGAGAAGCTGTAGGAGAAGGTCTTTCTCTCTTTGCTCCTGGCAGTTTCTGATCCTTCTAGGGTTGGGATAGGGGAAGGTAGGAGACGTGGGGAGGGGCATGAGTGTTGTCTGGTGAAGTTGTAAGATGCCTTCCAACTTTCTGGGTCTGGTAAACGTTTAAAGCAGACCACATTTCATAGAGGCTTTTATGGGATCTTGGGAGATTGCACTCACAGCTGGTGATGTCTCACCTGCAGTTCCCCAGATTCAGGCAAATCTGCTCTCCATCTGAACAGTCACTTACTTCCTTAGCCACTAGGAACCTAGTGTTCTCCCTCTGCTTCCCCTCTTCTAAGGTCTGCCTGCACCTTAGGCTTCCTCTAGCCAGCCCTTGCTCATGACTGACCCAGATCTAATCCATGAAGAAACATACGCACACACACACACACACACACATTCTTCCCCTGGACAAACTCAGAGCAACAGCAGCTCCCCTTCCCTCTGCACCAGGGTGGCTTGCTAGTTCTTCTTACACATGATTTCCCAGGAGGGAGCTGTGTTCTTCCTACCCAGGGATATATATTAGGCTGTCTGATGAGTCCCACTTATGTCCCTTTTCTCTTGACATATTGGGTGACCCCAACCTTTTACTTTGGTGGGAAGTGAGAACACAATTTTCTTTAGAAAAGATCCTCCAAATATCCTCTCTCTGGTCTCCAACAACCCTTATGTAATCTAGTATTTCCTTTGGGATGTAGCACCTATTGTTTCTTGCCTCAGCCAACACTTTAACTCCCTGTATGTATAATGAGTTCCTGTTTACTTGTTTGAAATTCTTAAGTCGGAAGTTTGTTGTTTGAATGAAGTCCCCACACTGTCAACATACAGTGGTTATACTCAGGCAAGAAGTGCTCCAAAAGAACAAATGTCCAAGGTCTCTGGCCAGTCCTGCTTTCTGAGGGGAACCAATAGATTCTTTCCCTTAGCTCAGCAGACCCTGAAACTCTTGGAACTTTTCCAGCTGGTGATCCAAGAGAAGGACCAGCAACCCTAAGACTTGGGCCACACAGCCCTCATGCTGCCTGGAGCACGGTGCCAGGGCACACAGGGTACCAGACACACAAATGAGCCATCTTGTCTATGATCCTCTCTCCCCAGTTGTATTGAAGACATGAAGGTCCTGCAGGTCTAGTAGAGGGGACTGCTGAGCTGAGCATGCTTGAGGACTAGAAGGACTGAGTGGGGCTGGAATAGAGGCCAGATACACTTAAAGAATCAGGAGCCAGAGGGATGACTCTGGCTGGGGGCAGGAAGCAAGGGAGGACACCACTGCAGGGGAAAAAAAAAATCACATTGCTTGAGGTCTTCATGATGTGGACCCCGATCGATCTTGTCAGGCTCATCTCATTCACTCCCTTCCCCTTCACTACAGCCATACAAAACCACCTGCCATTTTCTAAATATGCCATGCCCCTCCACACTCTTCTTTTTCACATGCTAGTCCTTCGGGATGGGATGACCGCCTCACTCTGAACTCCACTCCTATTGCTTTTATCCAACCACCAACCTAGTTTAAGTCTAATTTTCTGTGAAGCCTTCCCACCACTGTCCCCATCTGGCTGCTATGTTTTTTACATGTCTCAGTTTCAGCTCTCATGGCACTATGTTGTAGTGCTTTATTAACTTGCCTCTCCCTGCTCCCAAGAGACACCGAGTGTCTCTCAGACAAGGACTGTGCCTTATTCATTTTTTGAACTCTCACCACCTACAAATGTGCATCAGTGTTGTAGGGACTTCTATTGCTGTAGCAAAGTATCACAAATTTAGCAGCTTGAAACAAATTTATTATTTCACAGGTCTAGGCATGGTATGGGTATATTCTCTGATCAGAGTCTCACTGAGCTGAAATCAAGGTGTTAGCCAGGGCTATGGTTCTCATCTGGGGCTCAGGTATCTCTTCTAGGCTCACCAATTGTTGACAGATTAATTTCCTTGAAGCTATAGGACTGATGTCCCCGTTTTCCTTATAGCTATTGGCCAGGAACTACTCTCAGCTCCTAGAGGCTGCCCACAGTCTCTTGCCATGTGGCCCTATTACGTAGTTTACAGTATTGATGCTTACTTTCTTCCAGGCTATCTGGAACACGTCTCTTTGATTTCTTCGTCTATAATCAGCCACAGAGAACTCTCTTTTTTAAAAGGGCTCACCTGATTAGATCAGGCCCAACCAGGATAGCCTTTCTTCTACCATACAATATAACGTAATCATGGCAGTGATATTTAATCATGTTCATGAGTTCCATGCACACTCAAAAGGGAAGGAATACAAGGATGAGCATCCATTGGAGTCATCTTAGAATTTTGCCTACCACAGGGCTCAATAAATATTTATAAAATCAAATAAGATGTGTTCCAGAAATTTATAAATTATAAACGTTGCTATTCAATTATAAAATTTTTACCTCTCTTATCTTGGAAGGCTTTTAAAGTTGCTTCCTAATCTGTGTTGTTGAAGAATGGTTGAAGATGCTCTTTGTGAGATAACATGATACCCCTGTGGTGAGCCCAGGTAGTACTGGAAATTTGGGGTGGGTGGCAAGACTTGGTCTGACAGCTGACTGACTGTGGCCTCAGGCTAAGTCGGTGAAACTCTCTAAATGTCAGATTTCTCTTCATGTATAAAATAAGGGGTGGGGGTGGGGGACGGGACAAGATAATATCTAAGGTTGGCCAGCTCTAATATTCTGTAATTTCTTAGAATAAATCATGCCGATCAAATTTATATTTAACTGAGGGACTCATAATATCCAAATTCATTAAAATAGTTCACTAAAGAATTTCATTATAGATGAAATTGCAATGATGCGATTTTAAAAGGGACAGGCAATTTTGTTTTTAAATGAACCCATTCCTATATTGGCCAAACCCCACTACATATAAATAAGAGTACACAGCTACATTTTTAATACTTTATATAAAATGGTGAAGAATATTTTGTCTTTAGATGACATATCTGTCCAGTTATAGTCAGAAGTGAATTTTCCCCAAGATTTTAAAACCTGATAAAACTACTATTTTATAAGCTTAGTTAACTCAATTGATGATAACTGAAAAACTATCCAAACAGTACTCAAATATTACAAATCAATTCACTGACTACATGCAAAGCATGTTGAGACTCATATGCATTTTGGGAGCTTAAGTCTTTTTTTTTTTCTTTCTCAAATGAAGCCTCTTAAGCTAGGATAATTATTCTCTTCTATCCCTAAAAATGAGCTCTAATTTTAAACAGGTATTATTAAATTCCACAGAAATAGGCTTCAGATGTATTTGTTAAAACATCCCTTTATTGACTGTGCTCAGTTATTAACAATTCACATTTACTTTATCTACTGAGTGGAAGAGCATTTATTCTTTCATTAAAAAGTTAAGCCCTTAGGGCAGCAGCAGAGATGCAGAGCCTTCTTCCTATAAACAGCACTGTCCAATGAATGTGAAATGTTTCCATATTAATACAAAAAAAAGAAAAATAAATAGATTTCTTCCACCCTCCATCATCCCCTTTCCGCCAATACACTCCTCTTATTTTATAAAATGCCAACAGGTAAACAGTTCCCACACTGGTACTTCCATCAATCAGGAGAGGAAAGTCAACATTTACTTGACACCACTGAGTTCAGAACATCGTTAGGACTGTGTGAAAGTGACAAAAGGAGTATGAGGCCATGGTCATTTCCTCAGGAAGATGCCTTTTGGACAGCGAGGCTGGAAAATCATGAGGGCATTCATCAGCCTCTAGCATCTTGCTGCTCAAGTTTCTGGAGCTGTTTTTCAAGTTTGGAGATGTTTACTCGATGCATCATCAGAAACTGGCCATTCAAATGAAAGACAGGGATGTCAAATTTATACCTTTCATACCAAGCAGAGTTTTCTGGAAGTGTGATGTCCACCTCCTGTAAAATAAACTGAAATAGAGACAGACTAAAACTCTATATTTTGAGAACATGGAATGATGCAATGACTACAGTGACTACAGTGACAAACTACAGTGGCAAACTGATCCCCAGACTGGTTCTAATGCTGAGAGGTTTTTGTTGTTGTTGGTTTGTGATCTAATATTCCTGATTTCCACAACTTGATTGATTTCATTAAATTCCCTAATTCCCGATTTTGCCACTTTTCTGGTATACCATCCAGGCACTACTCAGTTCCCAATGATATAAAGCATGTCCCAACTGGTCAGCATCCAGGCACTACTCCTTTCCCAGTGATATAAAGCATGTCCCAACTGGGAAGCTGCCTGAGAATCAGGAAAGACATTTTTTTTGTTTTAGAAATGGGAAAGGCATCATGGTTTGCTACAGGAGAACACTTCCATGGAAATGACAAAATAAGAGAAAAAGGAATAAGACAAGAGTTTAAAGAAAGCATGAAAAGAATTTCATTATAGATGAAATTGCAATGATGCGATTTTAAAAGGGACAGGCAATTTTGTTTTTAAATGAACCCATTCCTATATTGGCCAAACCCCACTACATATAAATAAGAGTACACAGCTACATTTTTAATACTTTATATAAAATGGTGAAGAATATTTTGTCTTTAGATGACATATCTGTCCAGTTATAGTCAGAAGTGAATTTTCCCCAAGATTTTAAAACCTGATAAAACTACTATTTTATAAGCTTAGTTAACTCAATTGATGATAACTGAAAAACTATCCAAACAGTACTCAAATATTACAAATCAATTCACTGACTACATGCAAAGCATGTTGAGACTCATATGCATTTTGGGAGCTTAAGTCTTTTTTTTTTTTCTTTCTCAAATGAAGCCTCTTAAGCTAGGATAATTATTCTCTTCTATCCCTAAAAATGAGCTCTAATTTTAAACAGGTATTATTAAATTCCACAGAAATAGGCTTCAGATGTATTTGTTAAAACATCCCTTTATTGACTGTGCTCAGTTATTAACAATTCACATTTACTTTATCTACTGAGTGGAAGAGCATTTATTCTTTCATTAAAAAGTTAAGCCCTTAGGGCAGCAGCAGAGATGCAGAGCCTTCTTCCTATAAACAGCACTGTCCAATGAATGTGAAATGTTTCCATATTAATACAAAAAAAAGAAAAATAAATAGATTTCTTCCACCCTCCATCATCCCCTTTCCGCCAATACACTCCTCTTATTTTATAAAATGCCAACAGGTAAACAGTTCCCACACTGGTACTTTCATCAATCAGGAGAGGAAAGTCAACATTTACTTGACACCACTGAGTTCAGAACATCGTTAGGACTGTGTGAAAGTGACAAAAGGAGTATGAGGCCATGGTCATTTCCTCAGGAAGATGCCTTTTGGACAGCGAGGCTGGAAAATCATGAGGGCATTCATCAGCCTCTAGCATCTTGCTGCTCAAGTTTCTGGAGCTGTTTTTCAAGTTTGGAGATGTTTACTCGATGCATCATCAGAAACTGGCCATTCAAATGAAAGACAGGGATGTCAAATTTATACCTTTCATACCAAGCAGAGTTTTCTGGAAGTGTGATGTCCACCTCCTGTAAAATAAACTGAAATAGAGACAGACTAAAACTCTATATTTTGAGAACATGGAATGATGCAATGACTACAGTGACTACAGTGACAAACTACAGTGGCAAACTGATCCCCAGACTGGTTCTAATGCTGAGAGGTTTTTGTTGTTGTTGGTTTGTGATCTAATATTCCTGATTTCCACAACTTGATTGATTTCATTAAATTCCCTAATTCCCGATTTTGCCACTTTTCTGGTATACCATCCAGGCACTACTCAGTTCCCAATGATATAAAGCATGTCCCAACTGGTCAGCATCCAGGCACTACTCCTTTCCCAGTGATATAAAGCATGTCCCAACTGGGAAGCTGCCTGAGAATCAGGAAAGACATTTTTTTTGTTTTAGAAATGGGAAAGGCATCATGGTTTGCTACAGGAGAACACTTCCATGGAAATGACAAAATAAGAGAAAAAGGAATAAGACAAGAGTTTAAAGAAAGCATGAATATTGAACCTGCTAGTTAATTTTGACTCATATTAAGAGTCAGAGTAAAAAAAAAAAACAGTACTACTCAGAGAATAGTACTTAGGGATAATGAGTTTTATGGAAATCAGCACTAAAACCTCTCTCTGAAGAATAGAAAGAAAATTTGAATGAAAAATTATTTAATATCTTTTCCCAAAGAAAGGATCAGGGTGGATACCTTATATCACATACACTATCTATTCCATATACAAAAAGCCACACTGTACTATATTACCCTGTTTTTATAAGGCTCCAGTATTTCCTTAGCTTCATCACAAAGGGGACATGGATCCTACAGGAAGAAAAAAATAAAGCCATTAAACCCAAAGAATAGCATGAAGCCTGGCAAAAACCACAAGAAGCAAATTATACCTATTTTAAAGGACTCTTTACTACCAGGTTAATTACACTTTTATTTCCAAAATAAAACACTGCCATAGAATCTTATAAATAGCTAGTATTTCATGGTAAATGGGCTCTCAGCATTTTTTAGTTGTTTTGGTTTTTTTCCAAAATCTATCTAATAAATTTAGATGCTTACATTTGTTATACTTACATATATACATATACATACACACACATATATGTGTGTAACAAATGTAAGCATCTGAATTTATTAGATATTACATATAAATACATATATACATACCCATATACACAATACATTTAGATGCTTACATATTTTGTTATTGTCATCATCTAATTGATACCTGGGTAGATTATTTTTCACTGATCTATATAGTCCTATATCTTTGTCCTTCCTAGGTCAGGAGCACCTTCCTGGCCGGGCTGACATCACGAGAATGGCTAAAAGTCAGTTTTGAATGGGGGGCACTGAGCTTTGCCGGCCTGTTTTTCCTAATCTACTCACGGGAATAAACCCATTGAGATGGAGTTAGATAGTGAATAGCCCATCTTTAAAAAGGGGAAAAAATTTTTTTTGATGATCATTGTACCAACTCTTTAATGTTTAGTCTGTTTTCTCATTATAAGTGCCAGTTATAGGTTTTCCAGATAATTCTCCACTTGCGGAGCAAGCAAGTTTCAGTGCCTATTGTTTGTACTCTAACCGTATAATGGAGAAGTCTGTTGAGAATGCTATGAGTCATTGGCAGACTTTAAAGGCTTCTCAGTCCTTGACTCTATGAACAAGGACTAGCTATAGGTTCTCTTGCATGAGCTCAAAATAGAGTCAACATTATTGATATTTATATAAAATCTGCTTTTTAAAATAACAGGAAGAAATGAACTGTTTTATTAAAGAAAGGCCCTTCTTCCCGCTTAACTCATAGCTTGTTTTGAAATAAGGACCCAGATCTTCAAAAGGCAGTTTTCCTTCAGAAGGATCTTTCTGGCCCTAATTTCCTGGTTCAGGAAATTAGGCTCATTATTGTTACTATTAGCATCATCAATAAACAGATTATGGATGGTCTGTGACGTTTTAAGATAATCATGTTGACATTTTCTGAGAACCTTTCAAAAAGTCAACAGAGGATCTTAAAAGCAAAATAAGAACAAGCTAAATTTCAGAAGTATCAAATGTACTAACATTTTGCTTTTAAAGTAAAAAACTTTAGTAGAGTTAGATCAGGTTTTTTTTGTTGTTAAAAGCTGGTGCCGATGGAAGTCTGTGCAAATTATCACGTGTGTGTATTTTTATGAGTAAAGTTTTGTCAAAGTTTAAAGAGGTCTATGAACTGAAAAAGGATAAGACCCAGTGGTCTGGACCATTCAAACATCCTTGTCTAGGATTTTCCATGGTACCAATAGAGCATTTATTCTAGCTTCTGAATTGTAGTGAACATTTGTTGGGTTGGCTGTCAACCACTCATGCCCCTTTCTTGTAGCAAGACTGCTATGATTTTGCCTCACAGGAACTGCTCTCAGCATACTGCTGACTTCATTTCTAAACAACAAGGTTAGAACACCTGACTTAGGCCGAGGCAGTTAGGGCATCCTATCCCTTTGGCTATGAATGGTTCGGGGATCAGCCATCAGAGCCAATAGAGAGCCATGAGGCTTTTGCTGGTGTTTCTGTAGATATCCAATATATTGAGATCTGAGGCTTGGGACAACTGCAGTCATCCATGAGAAAAGGCAGAGTCAGGACAGATTTAACCCAGAGGATGCAGAGCTGAAGAGACTGGTCATGTGCTCAGTTTCAGGATGAAGCTACTCCTGAAACCAGACCAACCCATAAAATCCCTTTTTTTGTTAAAGCTACTCTGGGAAGTACTTTCTATTATTTATAACTGAAAGAGACTCAATACTGTGCTTTTTCTTTCTCTGGATTGTGAACTCCTGAAGGTGAGAGTGATATCTTATCAAATGCCTGATAACAAAGATTGAGGGTTCAGTACAAATTTTAAGGTGAATGGAAGATTAGTGTATATTTTCTATTATTATTATTATTATTTTTTACAAATGTTTACAGCTAACTTGGCTGTTGCTCAAACTGAAAAATAGTGCAGAATAGTTAGGCTGAGCACCATTAGTCTTAAGAGATTATTTTATTTTTGTGGTTAATTCTCACATGTAAAATAGTTTTATTCCATAATTTTTATGTAATATATACAACAGTATAATATATACTCATGGATATGAAAAGTAGTTTAGATTAACTCTTCTCACCAAGAAATTAATTTTTAAAAACTTATTAAACTTTATTATTAGGTAACCCATCAGATATTATCAAATTGCTAAAATGCCTGAAATCTGAAAAATCTATGAAATACAAGAGCTTTTTCATTTGAATTGCAGTATTATTCACTACAGTTAATTCTGTTACCCTGCACTTTATTTCTCTTTTGATTATAAATCACACAAAGTAATGTTAAATATCAAAAGGAAATCAATAATGCTTGTATTATAAATTTCAGGACAAAAAGCCCTTTAAAAATTTAAACTAGCTTCATGGCTTAAAACTAGTGTCACAGATAAGAAAACAAGTGTAGTCAATCATTATTATTTGTGGATTTACGAATTCACCTATTCATTAAAACTTTATTTGTAACCTCAAGATCAATAAGAATAGTGATTTTGCAAGTCATTCATAGACATTTGCATGCACAAGGCAGAGAAAATTTTGAGTCACCCAAAGTACACATTCCCCGCTGAAGTTGTGTAAGATGATGCTCTGCCTTCTCGTTTCAGCTCATACTGTAAACAAGTGTCCTTTTCATGGTCTATTTAATGCCATGTTTTTGCGTTTTTGTGCTTTTTGTTCATTTTGCTGTTTAACATGGCCCCCAAGCATAGTGCAGAAGTGCTATCTAGTGTTTCTAAGCACAAGAAAGCTGTAATAGGCCTTATGGAGGAAATACTGTGTTAGATAAGCTTTGTTCAGGCATGAGTTATAGTGCTGTTGGCTGTGAGTTCAATATTAATGAACCAACAATATATGTTAAATTAGGTGCCTTTAAACAGACACACATAAACAGGTTATGTATTGATCGACTGACAAAAATATTGTTACCAGAAACTCATAGGAATCTAACCCTGTATTTTCCCAAGGAACAATGATTCAGTATTCATTAATTCAATGTTTGTGGTGACTTTATAGAATATAACTGTCACAGATAAGAACCAAGTTTCTAAGAGATACATTTGTAAACATCATATTATAATATGATAGTTCTTTCTTTCAATGTAGGGATCATATGACTAATATATATATATATATATATATATATCAATTTTTCCTCTAATTGTGAGACAATAAAGTATCTGGGTAGGATATCTGGGTAGGAAACAGAGTTACTACTGTTGTTATTGGAACTGTAAAATTGAGCAGTTTGGAAGGAAGTTTATTTCTTAGCTTTCCTTTCAACATTTTTCTTCTTTATTAAATGTACAACTTTCTTCACCCAACAATTTTAATACTTTGTTTTTAAAGTAGTAATTTTACTTTTCACTCTACCTTTGTGAATAAGGTCAATACAGGCAGAACAGTCTTAGAGGCAGACAGATTTCTCAAGAGTAGAAAGGAGTATTTGGCAAGTTGCATGCTATTTCCTTGAAACCAGAGCATCTTAATTCTGCCAAAAGAAAAACAGACCAGTAAATTTATGTGCCCTAGACTTTGCTTTTTATAATATGAGCAGTAAGCTGCAAGCCATTGATGGAATTTGAAGGCTTCAGAATTGCTTCTTAGAGTCCAGGAGTGTCAGAGAGGACCAGATGTTTGCCTAGTCCCTACGATGCCTCCATAGTCACTGCATTCCAAACAAAACCAAATTTAGAATGGGAAAAAATGCATATTTATGGATTAGCTGTGTGCCTAATCACTTGGTTTCTGTAAGCAAACTGCATGGGTTTGTTAATTTGAATACAAAATTAAATTTCACCTGCAGATTTTGCTAGCATCCTGATGATACCCTAATATGTGGAGGTTTCCTGAGATAGTTTTTATTCACAGAAATAGCTTATCTTATTAGCAAGCATTCAACAACATCCAACCACTATCACAGTAAAGGAAACGATAAGTAAGCAGCACAACTCCCTAGATGATGGATAAGGCTATCACTCATGAGATTTATGCCCCTCTGCTGCAAGAGATGGGGAAACACAGAACTGTACATAGAGGAGCCATAGAGGAGAGTTAGGCAGAGTTAACTTGTCAGAAACAAAAAGCTCAACTCTTCAAGAAGTGTTTTAAAAGGAGATTACCATCATTTTTGAAAACACACAAATGTGCTAGTGTTTCTGCTGGAGATATTCCAATAAGAACAGTTTGATAATAGCAGTATGTCAAACACTAGGCTTTGAAGCTCCCTCATGCTGCTACTTTGTTCGACATAAGATACCCTACTTATTTCTAGTTATTCTACTGAGTCTCCAGCTTTGTCCTTAAAACTCCAAATATGATCATTTCACTTTTAAAACAAATATGTACTATTGGCTTTATCATTCAGCAATATTCCCAAGATGAATTTATTCCTGGGATTTTCATAACTTTGCTTTATTTTCTCTCTTCAACTTCATCTATCACTTTTCCCTCCCTTATCTTGAAAAGTTGCAGCCACAAAGATTCTCTTTCTCTTCCTTAAATACCCAAAGATCTTTTCTTCAGCAAGATCTCTACACTTGCTGTCCCTCTGTATGAAAAACCTTTAAGTAGCTTCTCCTCATTTGTCCTGGGTTCATGTCACCTCCTTAGAAATGCCTTGGTGATTATCTTACCAATATTGGTCAGCCCACCACTTTCCTTCCTCATACCTTGCTGTAGTTTTCTTTTATCCTTCACTATCTATTTCTTTACCTATATCTCCTTTCTACTACAATGTGAGTTCCATAAGAGCAGGTACTTATTCACCCAGTAGCCCAAGTATCTATAATTAACATAGTAGATGTTAAAATATTTGTTTGAATGTTAAAGGTTTTGAGGTGAGCCTTTCTCCCCATCTTTAGTCTCACCGTTAACTCTGATCAGATACTCAGTGTGCATAGCAGTCACTATTTGGGCATATCTCATATCATAACTAAAGGTTAGTGCTTCTCAGGGTGTCCACAAAATTTTGGGCCAGTGTGCTGCAGCTGGTCCCAATCCTTTTGCCACCACCTTGAATCTCCCTCTGCTTTGCTCCACAGCGTGATTGTATTAATTACACGCTAATCTCTACCGGTGACCGGGCTTCTCAGTGTAAGGTTAAACTCATTTCAGACAGAATGATATGACTTTAGAGAAAAACACCAACCCATATCAAACTAGAATAAAGACTATAGGACAAAGAGATTCCAATCCATGAAAGCACTTTTCTTTCCTTCACTCTTAAACCCTCACTGGATCTCCCCACTAACTAAACGATCAGGATAATGAATAAAAAAGAGATGTAATGAGAATTTTGCAAGAATCTGCTACCCAGCATTATTCCAAGGTAGAAAGTGGATCTAAACAATTTCACAATATGCTGTGCTACTCTCAACTAAGTGTTAAGCCCTGGTAAACACATTTCCCATAAATTCAGCAGAATCAACAACTCCAAATGTGGTTGGAGACAACAGCTGCTAAACATGGCTTTGTCTACACAGGATATAAATGAGGGGGGAAAGTAGAATGTTAGCTATGTTTATGCTAGGTAGATATTTCTGCATTGTTGGTTTTGGGACAGCCCTAGGCCAATAGTAGCACACCCTCCTAGGGGATGGAGTTAAAGAAGCTGTACTATATGGAGGAGAAAGAAAATTAAAAATGAGTTTTGTTAGAGTAGAGGTAGAAAGACAGCTCTTGGAAATGAGAAGGATCAGGCCATCTATGACCGTGATGTAAGACGACAAGTAGGACAGTGAACTGCAGCTACATGCCTTTGATGGAAAGATTTAAGATTTAAGATTTATTGATGTCTGGCTGGTAAGGAAAGGAAAACATTGCTTTTACCTAGCTGAGTTGAGACTGAGGTGTGAAGGCTTTAAAAAAATATTCACATTCACAATGGAAATCTGCTTTAGTATTTCCAACATGACAAAACACAGCATGTGGTCTTGGTTGTGCCCAAGACAAATAAAGCCTGTCATGGTAAACAGAGTTGCTATTCATTCCAGATTTGCTGGATATTTGTTCAACCAACCCAGAGAGCTAAGTAGTCTTCGGCAGTGCTACAACCATTCTATTTAAAACTAGTTCTCTTTTCTACTATTAGTCTCCATTTCTACTTTGTTGCAAGTATTTTATCACTTAAACATCCCATATTCATTTACTGAGAAATGCATTAGAATTATGTAATTTTACTATCTGCATATTTCCCAAATGCCCTAAGGTACATACATTATGCCACATTGTTAAAATAACTTATTTCTTTGTATTGGAAAATTATATGAAAGTCTGATATAAAGGGAAAGTGCCATTTACCTCTTCTATGTAGAAATAAGACATTATGGCTAAAATTCTGAACACTGGAGTCCACTTAGTTCTAGAAATAAAAAGTAAAATGAAAAATGATACATTCCAATTGGAACTGTATAGTATTTTTAGAATATTTTATTAACTCTGTAAACCCTAGTACCACTGCTGTCAATGTCACGTTCACTGAATCATGCCTTCTTGAAGTAAAATCTTAATACAGGCTACTCTGTCAATGTGACATTTTCATTAGTTCTATTATTTTTTAATAGTATCTCAGCGCTATAAAAAAATATTCTGAAAGGTGGTCTCTGCCTGTTAGCTCATGACTGTGAGAGGACAACACCTTTTTGATTATGTCATTGAATTTAGTTATGGAATGCGTGTTCTTACTACACACAGACACGATTTTATCCTTTGTATTTTGTTGTATGCTTCTATGATATGAGCAAAAAGAGCTGTGTTGATAATATCAAAGAAGCACAATTGGGTCATCTTTGTCACAGACCAAAAAAAAAAAAAAGCAAAAGGCATAACACTGGATTTAGAATATGCCTAAAACTAATTCCACAGACTAACAATAAAGATGGTGACTCCTGCTGTTTCAAGTCCACTGTTGCTCAGAGGCACAGATCACCCTGAAAGAGAAAGGGAATGCTGGCTTTTCAACAAAACCAAGGCTGACTTCAGTGGTCTTTATAACAGAATCAAGCACAACATGGTGGGAGGACTGATTGGACCAATTCAGCCCTCCTTGAAGCAAGATAAGGAAGATAACTTAACTTCATAGCATTTTCTCTGCAAAGCACTGAAGGTATACCATTAAAACAACTGATTATAGTACAGCAAGAAGCCAGGGTCATTTAAGCCTTTATTAAGGATTATTCATTTCTTGCATGAGGAGCTGCCCAGGTTATGCCTGCACATCACTTACGTGGGGCTCTTGGATTCTTCAAACACTGTATGTGGCTGATTAGAAAGGAAACAACATTGTTTTTGCTTGAGTAGAGAAACTGACCTTCACTGACCAGAATTTTTATTGATACAAAGAATCCTTTGGCACACCAGATTTCCAAGTTCACATGATTCCTCATCAGTAAGCTGCAGTGTTAGTTCATGTGCAAAATCAAAAAGTCTATATAAGCCCAGATACCGCCTGAGTTATTAACAGGTAATGTTGGAGCTTCTTCACAAGAGTGTAATGTAAATTTAATGCTGAGCTGACATTAACCAAACACTATTACCATAGCTCTCACTGAACCTGTGTTCCATAAAGAGTCATTTGTGCCATGTGAGATGTTAAGTGCTCCATTTCACATTCATTACATCTAAGTATAACATTCCTATTTTTACCCAAAGAACTAGAAATTCCTATTTTTACCCAAAGAACACACAAACACATGTGCACATGTGCGCATGCCCTACTGGGAACAAACCATTATTTTAGATTACTGAAGTTTATGTAACGAGGTGAGGTTGCTCTTAGGGACTCATCTAGGTCACTGGGCTCTACCTAATCCAGGGAAACAGGGACAAGTGAATCCTTACCAGTGCTCTTATGTGCTTTTTGGTCAGTCAGCTGTATCCAAAGATCCCTCTCTCTCAAACGATTAGGAACCTAATCTGAGATCTTGGGTGTAAGTGTGGAGCCAAGCATGACAAGGAGAGGCAACATATAAGGGATACAGTCAAAGCCGAAAATTGAGCAGATACTTTGGGGTGTCAAATCCAAGGGGCTAAGCAGGACTAGAATGAGGCTATAGAATAGAATCAGGGAGTAGGGAGTAGAAGGCCCAGCTTGAAGTGGGGCCCTCAGTCACTGGCATGAGTGAGATCTCAGGTACTTTTCCAGCACCTCAGCCTCAGCAGAGTACCTGGCCAGGGGAACTGCCTAGGAGGTGGAGCCAACTCAAACAAGATGTTGTAACAAAGACCCTGAGCTAACCACTCACCTATGGGCCCACTTGTACATGGCCTTATGTTCAGCTTCATTCTTTTTTTAAATTGAGACATAACTGACATATAACATTAGTTTCAGTTGTACAACATGATTTGATATTTGTGTATATTGCAAAATGATCACCACAGCTTCATTCTGAGTATGCAGTTGGACTGCTAATTTGATCCCTCATAACTCACGAAACCAGCCTCAGGGAGTGAGAAGCGGCCTCTCACACTACACGTCCACCACACACCCTG